CGCAGGGTTCGCGTCCCGGGGGACGGGGTGCACGCAAGGCCGCAGGGTCCAGGCGCCCGGGCCGGGCCCCCCCGCGCGCGCCGCAGAGCTCTATTTTTAGAGGCGTTGTGGCAATATGAGGAATGCGCGGCGCGCCAGGCGCTCTGGGCGCGCGCGGGCTGCGCGGTCGCTTTAAGGAGGCGCCGGGGCGGGGAGCGGCCAGAGCAGCCGGCGGCCGGCTGGCTGGGAGCCGTCTGTCGCGCTGCCCTGGGCCCCGGCGGGCGCGCCGCAGCCTCCTCACCGGCGCGAACATGGAGGAGGCGACCTGAGGTCCGGAGCCGAGCCGGGGCGGGAGCGCGCGGTGAGTGGTCCGGCAGCCTTGGCTAGGGGGAGCCCCGCGCCTCCCCTGCCCGGGCCGGTGCTTTGTTCCGGGCGGGAGGTGTGGCCGCACCCCCACCCGCCCCGGGCTCGGCCGCGCTGTCCTAGCGCGTGGTGCGCCCTGCGGCTGGCTGTGAGTGGCCTTTTGCCCCCAGCGTGGGCGCCAGAGTAACGGTGTGAGATAGGGAAATCTGCCACAACCGAGACCCCGGTGGCGGGGGGGAGGACGCTGCCCACCGCCCTAAAAGACCCTTTCATGGTAATCATTCGTGGGTTCCTTGGCTGCCCTGAAGAGGACCTGGCCAGGAGATGGGCGGCAGGACGAGGGTGAGGGTGGGGTGAGCAGAGGGGGTCTTTTTCTCCCCTCTTTAAGATGGCGTTAACGAGGACAGAGATCCGCCAGGGAGTTGTACGATTTATCTGGATAATAAAAAGCAGTCTGATTCATAAACAACCTTTTGCTGCACCTCAGTGTTTGGGGACCTGGGGTTCTCACAGCCTGGACTCAAGCACTGAACTGTGTGTCAGTCACGGTGCCAGTTCTGCCCCTCCGAAAAGTGAGTGACAAACTGAGTGACAACTCATCGTGATCTGTGCTGACATGGGGAATCTCAGGGGTTGTGGGGGGCCCCACTGTGGACCCAATTAGACTCTGGCTGGAGCTGAGGTCTGTGCTGGCCTGGGGCACAGTGGAGTCTGGAGAGATGGCCAAAGACCACTTCACTGTGGCCTTGATGTAGAGCTCTGAGATTGGCCCTCTTTACCCCTGGACCCCAGCTGGTAGGGGTCTTCCTTAGGCTAGAGTGATTTTTGCTTCTCTAGGACTTACTGTGTCCTGGGCCTGAGTAGAGAGGGTGATTGACAAGGCTCAGGATTGTGGCCTCCTGGGGTTTGTCTGACAGCAGGAGTAAGAAGAAAATGTCTATTAACAGCAGCCAATAGGGCTTACAAAGACCACAGCGCTTGAAATAGATTTGTCCATCATTTGACAGAACACCTCCAGGAAGGTTTTATTATTGTAAAAGTTGGGAGAACTGGGGCAAGAAAGGGTCAACTAGTGCTTTTGGCCATGTGGCTGTCGTGGCCCCTGTTGTGAGGGTCTGGCTGTCCTGGGCTTGAGAACTCTGGTGCAGCCTGTGTTATGCTTTATTAATACGGCATTTGCTATAGACATTCGCTGGTGGGTTCAGGTGTGAGGTTGTGAGCTGTGGTTATTAATAACTGACTGGTGTCAGGGGCTTAGCAGTGAACAAAACACTTTCCCGGAGACAGTTCTTAGATTTTCTTCTGCTTCTTTTCCCAGAGAAAGAAACTTGAGCTGCTAACATTTTGTAAACCTCCTAATTTCCTGTAAATCTCATGTCTCTGCTGACTGGGACTGAAAATATTTCGGGCAATGGTTTTCACCCTTGGGTCTGTTCACACTGCCCAGCAGCCAGTTATCTTCTCAGTCTGTGGTTTATTGTTGTAGTTAGTCCTTTCTCTGCCAGGGTGGGAGGCATAGGGCTTGGATACTCTGGGGGTTTTGAGGTCTGCCAGTCTCCTTAGGGGTGGCATATTGAGCCAATCTGATGCTCTAGTGGAGACTGCTCCCCCAGATGTGACCTCGACATTTCCTTATACGGGGACAATCAAGGCCCTCTGGTAAAGCAAGTGATTATCTTTCAGGGTTGTTACCTGTGCTTCTGCATAAGGCAGTTTATGTTTTCTGCTTATATTTTCATGGAATAAAATTTTCTCGTGACAAGTTTAACTTCTATTTTATTATTAGCTCTAGCCGCAGATATTTCATACTTTCAGTTGATCTGAGCTACTTATAAAGTGACTTATTAAGCTACTTATAAAGTCATCCCTGGGTTGGTTCCTGAGCTTGAGTAGTCACCTGGAACCAGGAAGGACTGCTGGACTCTGGGAAATTAAGCTCCTGGGGTGACTAGTCCTAACGTCAGTCAGATTCACATGTTGACCAGCCTCTTGGATCTAGTGTGTTCTTAGGGAAATGTGACCTTCATTTTAAATTTTACATCTGATGTAATTATTGTAATTTGTTCTACCAATGAAATGCCCCCAAAGCGTTTCTCCTGGGAAGTGATTGACACCTGCTCACAAGCATTTTGTAGTTGGTAGGAGCCATGCTCATGTGAACTCAGTGGGGACATGTTCTTGTACATAGCTAGAATGTTTTCAAGCGTCCAGAGGGTATACACTGGATTCTAGAGGCTCTCTCCCTGCCATCCAGCAGCTGTAAGGCTCAGTCACCCTTGTCTGGGGATGGGAAAAAGGAAGGATCTAGGGGAGTTCCTTGTGACCTGGGGCATCTGGGAGGTACCCATTGTCTATTGACTAAGCTTTGAGAGGAATTTTGTTTGTGGACTCTGAGGCCCTCATCATCTGTTTCTGGACTCATGTTTCTGGACTCTGCACCCTTATCATCTTGGTAACAAAACCCAAATAACAGATCTCTGTACATGGGAATGAGATATTAGTGTCACTTCCAGCAAGTTCCTGCATGCGACAGGTAGCCAAGAAGGCTGCATTACTGGAGTTCAGAGTAATGGTTTTTACCTTCTTGTGTCACAACCACTTTAATTTGCCAATGAGAAGCCCGGAAAAAATGTTTGATACACAAAGTTGGGCTTAGAACTCAGGGGATTCATGGAGCTCTGGATCCAAGGTTAGCCTCCTCTGGTCTAAAGGTATGTGACTTCCCTGATGCTCACTGAGTACCTGCTCTGTAGCCTTGTCCAGCCAAGCCAGCATGCCACTCCATGACTGCCTGAGAGGTCAACAGAGTGGGACAGTAAGTCATTGCTCAGCCTATGTAGTCAGCCTGCAGGTCTGTCCTGTGGAGCTCTGACAGAGGACAGTGCTGCCACCTCCTGCTTCAGTTAGCACTGGGGGGGCCTGCTGATGTCCAGATGGCCAAATGATGATATAGGTCACCACCGGTTGCTGAGGTGCCATTCTGGGTCTCAGAAGGGCATATATTTGGTATCAGGCTACCTTGGTGGATAAAACATCATAATTTTGTTGCTAGTAAGGTTTTGGAGAGCACCAAGAATGGATTTGGCTGAGCAGTGTGGAGGGCGGGATAGAGAGTGGGGGCCCTGAGCGTCTGTCCCTCATCACTGTCTATAGGGCCTTGGTTTGGTGTGCTAAATGGCCCGTGGTACGGCCCCAGACTCCATCTGCAACTTCTCTGCCCAGCCCTGAGGGTTGTCATGGGGATTAGATGAAATACACAGATGAAAATGTGCTTGGGAAGTGCTGGAAGAATGAAGAGCATTATCAGTATTCAGGCAACCTTCAGATAACAGAATCCTAGACCCAAAAGGGGCCCCTCGAATGTATTCAGCCCAGACTCACACCCAGTAGAGCATACTTCTCCGGCTCTATCTCTATTCTCTCTCTGTGAGAGAGAGAATTTTAGGTGGGACATAGTCTCTTTCATTTTAGTAGTTACATACTGGTTTGTACATATTACAAAAAACACGGAGATCACATCAAACCAGGTTCTTTAAAATGAGTATTTTTTTCTGATGAAAACTAATGAAAGATTTTAAGTTAAAAAGTATGGTAATTTTCATATTAAGCTAGTATTAGTACAGCAGTAGACCAATATGGGCAAAATGGGAAAGTGATTCCTTGAGTAAAGGTTCAAAGAGAAATTTCTAACATGGAGATGCACACCTGTTGCTCTTCCCTTGGGGATTCTTTAATCCTTGTGAAGTTCTTCCTTTCCTCCCCTTACCCTGTCCTGTAGATCCATCCCACATAAGCATTGACAGTTGTGCTCCTCTCTGGCATGAGCAGCTTTGCTCTCATTAACTGCTTCTCAAATGTCATGGTTTAAAGACAGCCTTTCTGTATGTCCTTCCTTCCCTTCCTCCTGTCCCCCCACCCATCTACTCACCCATTCATCCGTCTTTCCTTCAGTGAAGACTTGTGAACCAGCCCTGTACCATACACTTTGTATTCGCTGTCTCAGCTCTCAACAGTTTTGTTCGATGCTGTTAGCTTTTTACAGATGTAGGAACCGCAGCTCAGGGATGTTAAGTGGGTCACGTGCAGTCATAACCTGAAGAAACAGAGCCAGGAAGGAGTCTGACCCAGGTCTGTCTGTTCCTGCTGCCCATGTTCCTCTGTTACCTTGTGCTGTCTGTTGAACTAAATGACCAAAAGGACATGATTCCTTCTCTCCTGGTGCTTATAGGCCATATCCCCCGGGGGAATGGCTATACCTAATTAGCACTGTGGAACCACAGATGTGCAAAGGTAGCTGGTTGGCAAGGAGACAGTGTGCCTGGATGGCAAGTAGACTTCCCTGACAGTCATTAATGTTACAGTCAACTACCACCCCCTGAACCATCTGTGTACTTTATTGTTTTAATTTTGAAAAAGAAAGAAATATGTGAAGGATCATATAACAAACACCATGTACCCATTATCCAAAGTGGACAGATATGACCCATTTTTTCCTGTTACTTGATTTTTTCCATGGTAGACTGGACTTAAAAATGGATCCCTTGTTATTTGGCCTGGCTGGTGTGGACCCATCCTCAGCCTGGGATGGGCTCTGGAGTTTCCGTGTATCTGCTCTCTCTTTGGGCTTCATGTCCCCAGCTAATTCAATGAAGATGCCAACTGGGCCCCCCCTTGAAGTTATCGATTGAAGATCCTTTTTTTGCTTCTGACCATGCTGGGGGGAGGCCACAGGGGAGTGTGCATTTTTGGCTATGACCTTTCTCAGAGAAGTTCATCCACCCTTACAAACACCTGCCTTGACCACTGGGTTTAGGCCAGGCTGCAGAGCATGGTTGAGTCATAGCTGCCCAAACTGGACTGTCATTTAAATGGTAGATTTGTATACTTCAGAGACAGAGAAGACATGGTTCTCTTTATAATCAGATGGCAACGATTTGTTAAGCAGCTCATCTGAAATAATCTTGAACAAAATACATGATATATTCCAGAGTATAGACC